TTACACATTCTTCAATGCCTATCAAAGCATATCCCTATTTATTAATGTCCAAAGGTTAAAGTTAGCCTCCATTTCATCAACAGCACCAGCCTCCATAAATAGATTTTCAGTCTAGCCACCAGCTTTATCCTGCTGCTTTTTTACTGGGGTGGAAAAAAGATACCCTGGTGGTGTCTAAAGCTCTTTCTCAATTTTCCTATGACCAGCTGTACTTGAACATTCACCTTTGTTTGATTGCACTCAAATCTTGATATCTGGAATAAGCTGCAGCTCTTTTGTAAGGTATTTGTCATGGAAATTTGTCATTTTTTTCTCTGCAGTGTTTGACTGCTGCTATTCATATCTGGTTTGAATCAACTCATTAAAAGGTTTGGGGGATAGGATCAATCTCTTTCATTTTGTGGGATCATAGTTCATAAATTAAATTTTCTGCAAGCCAAAGCAGTAGGAATTTCATCAGCAATGACCGAGAAAATGAAAAGATGCAGTTGTTTGGTTTCAGCTTTAAAACTGCAACCAACTGAATTCTGATGAGGAAAATACATCTCTTTTTCTAGTTTCATTTTGGTTTTCAGTCTACTGTTTGTAGTAGCTAAGCATTCTCAGCAGTGCTGGGGCCTCAGAGTATGAGAGATGCCCTGTCTGTTAGAGTGAAAGTTAGACACAGCCAAACAAGTACCATTGCTTAGTGATGGTGCTGCTCTTGTGTCTGACACAAATGGTCTAAAGTCTCCTCTAGCTTGTTCTGGTTGGTGTAGTACACTACAGACTTTATTTAACTAACTGTCATTTATTCATTTATAAGAAAACACTCATAGCTACCAAATTAAGTGTTCAGAAGGTTTTGATCTTTTTTAACTTGGTGTTTCCTGTTGGTTCTCAGGGGTTTTTTTTTTGTTTGGTTGGGGTTTTTTTTGTTTTTGGTTTGTTTTTTTTTTTTTACTGAGAAGGAAGATGACAGATCAATTATGATTTAGGCTTTTCAGAAATTTTCAGAAATTGTTATTTTATTCTTGGCTCTCTCTGGACTTCTGTCATTGATGGCACTTAGACTGGAGTCTGTGTGCAGGCACTCCTAGTGTTTTGATCTCTAATCCCTGCTCTCTTTTGGAGCAGAAAAAAAAATGCTTTAAATTCGTATATGAGTTATGTTCTGTTCCACCACCATGAGTAAAGCAGAAAAATGACCCTAAAAACATTGCTTAATCTGTTGGGAAGATAAACTTGCATAATGGCAGGAAGCTGTTCAGCAAAGAGATGAAATTGGAGAGAAATTTTTTAATTTGGTTTTCCCATCATCTTAATATAATAAGCAAAGCAATTTTGTACAGCAGGTCAAACAGTCTGCAAATGCAATTTATCAGTACCAGAGGGATATGACAAGAAATTGTAGCATAGGGGCCCTTTTGCATTTAAGGAAAAGCAATGCCGCAAAACCCCTCTTCCTTTTGCTCTTTGGTCTTGCCTGAGCACTCAATTTAGAATTGAAGGTGGAACTAAATTCTCATTTTGTATGCTTGTTGGGAAAATCATGTTATTCTCATTATTCTTAATCTGTGTCTTTAAGAAGGGTGGATGAACTCTTTATGTCAATCTAACATGTTTAGCTACTCAGTGTTGCTAGCAGCATTATTCCAGGAATCCTCCATGCTAAGAAACTGTTAAAGTCCTACGACTTAAGTATTGGATTAAAAAGGCATTAAGAAAGTCACTTTTAATATCCTAATTCATGTAAGCTTGTTCCAGAATTATCTGGTTGCCTCTAACTATAGTTTCTGCACAATATGAGATAATTGACCACAGCAACAACAAAATCATCTTAAATACCATCTAGTAGTCTATAACCATGTTACTTGTGGAATTACAACCCCCAAACATTTATTTCCAAGCATTTTGTGCCCTGGTGCTCTGCTGCTAACAATAATGCTAAACATCACTTGTCATGATTCACTTCAGTGGTCTGTGTCAGCAACCAGTCAAATCCTGGGTCTGTTTTGGTGAAACATGCCATTCAGACCTTCTCTGGGGTAAAGAACGTGGATTTTGCAGGCAGATGGTCTCCAAATGACCTCTCTTTAGCCTCTGGAAACCTTCTCAGCAGATTTATTACTGTGGCACACAAAAGGGATTTAGAGTTGAACAGAGTCAAGTGATGCAGGAGATGAAGATCTAACAAGATGAAGATCTAAGGAGATGAAGAACCCAGGGTTTTTTCACAGATGTGTAACTGTGTGGGCAGGGCTCAGCTTTGCTGACTCTTAGCTTCTGGGGAGAAGGAACAGGTGAAGGAAGTGATGCATACTGAGGGCTTTATGCTTTCTTCCCTCAGACCATGCCTGTCAGGAGGGACATGTGGCCAGGTCCATGCCATCCCCCATTCTGGTGATACCCTGAAGGCACAGCACCCCACCTGTCCTCATGCATGGTCCCAGCTCTGCAATGAATAGGGGCCAACTTAGTGTCCGTGCCTTGGGACCGACTTCTAGGTATGGGTTTTTTCCCCTTCAAATTCTGTCCAAACTGTTAACACTACCTATGCAATAATTTGGTATAAAACATTTTACTTCTAAGTTGAGGGCATGGAAAGAAGCAGTGAAGTTGATAATTTTGATCTTGAAGGCAAGATATAAAAATTACCAATGGAACACTTTCCAGTATAACACACTTCTTTTTTTCTGGGATTATCTCTGTGCCAAATTGAACAGAAAGATACACTGTGGGGAAGGAATTACCTTCCCACTGCTTTTCAGCTAGACCAAGTGAAAAGCAGGCTGTTTCAAGAACTTCAATTTTGCCAACAATAATTTTGCTATCTCCAAAGAGCTCCACACAGGTGTCTGCCAGATGTTTATATCTATCCTAGGAAACTATTTGTTGGAGTGTTTTTATGTAGAACTTATAACACATTGAAGAGTGCAAGTGCATGCTTGCTGCAAAGTGAAAACCACTGGTTCAGCAAGCACTCTTTCCCAAGCACTGTGAGCATGCAGAATTTCAAAGTGCGTGGGAATGGCTACAGTCTCAATACCTTGGCAGTGCTAATCTGGTCGTGATGAGTCATTGCTTGCTGGTAATGGAATTCTTTAAAGAAAAGAGTGAGTCATCTTGTGCAATACCAAGCAGGAATTGAATTGCCTCTGGGCATAGAATTACAGGAAAGAAAAGCCAGGGAAATCCTTTTAGTGCTGCAGTAAAAGCACACAAATTACAGGTGCTGATGCTAAATTGATCAGTCAAAGAGAACAGGACAGACATGTGACTCTTAGTGTTAGCCAGCAGAAGAATTTTAGCTAGAATGTCCTAGATGACCTCTCAGTAGAAAATTATGTATGCTTTGTTGCTATCCTGTTTTCTGACATGGGAATCTTGTCCAAGTCTGCCAGAATGATCTGAAAGCAGTCTTTATGATAGAAAAAAATCCTATCTCAAAGCATTTTTAAACTGGTCCTAAATTCAGTATTTAATGAAGATGCACAGAGTGGAGAATTTTGTGGCAGGGAATAACACCCAGGGTCTGGAACACTGGGAAGACCATCTGAGCAGCCTAAAAGATACCTTTCTGTCTTCTTGATTTGGAGTTGCTATGAGAACTTCACCATCTCCTCATGTAAATTAAGACCTGCGTAGTGCCTTAATGACTTCAGGGCTGTCTGAAATTTGTATAATGCTGCAAATTGAAAGTTATGTCTTATATCCTCAATGGCTTGTCTCATGACAGTAAGATGTGGTAATTTCATAGAATCACAAAAGGGTTGAGGTTAGAAAGCCATCTAGAGATTTTGAATCTGGGCTTACTACTAAAATAAGGACCAACTAGAGCAGGTTGCTGAGAGACGTGTCCAGCTCAGTCATGAGCACCTTCAAGATGAAGATTTCACAACTGCTCTGTCCAGCCTTTTCCAGAGTTTGATCACATTCCAAGTAACTAAGTTTTTCTTTAGGTTTTTTTTTGTGACATTTGTTCTCAGACTTGCTGTATATAATTCATCTGTAGCTAGACTAGAGTCTCAAAACTGTTGCAGATGCATTAGTCATCAGCAATAAAGGTTTCTCTGTGCCTGGCTCAACCATTCCACCATTTACACCTAAATATAGGGTGAATACCTGCTTGGGGTATAATTCATCAGAGGGGCTTTGCAGGTTGCTGCTGTGAGAGCTGTGTACACTGTGCCACTATCTATCAGGCAGCCTGACCTGTGCCACGATGCATTTCTGTAACCGCAGCAGTGACACTGCTGCTGCTAAAAGTAACCAACTGATAATATGGAATGAGCTGATTTGCCTGTGGGAGGATTCATGTAAATTCCTGCAGTCTGCTCAGCACAGTGTCTCAAGCGTACCTGGTTTCTCAGTTCATCTCTGACTCTTGCAGTATGGGAGTACCCATCAAATAAAACTCATCCTGATTTTCCCAGGCATGGCCTTTCTCTAGAGTAAACTAAGGGCTAAGGGCAGGTATGCCTTTTTTTTTTTTTTTTTCAATCTCTGTCACAGTGATAAAGTGTGCAACAACATAGTTACATAGATACTTTCACATTTGGCCACTTTTTGAGGCCTGTACTGCATTCCAACCAATAATGTCCCCATTTGTTCTCAACTTCTGGCTTTGGCAGCCTGTTGGTTCAGATTGGTAACACATCCCAGATCTGCCTAGGAGGACCCCAAATCCTCATAAAAGCAGAGGACTCTTACTTACCTCTGATATCAGATGTTGGAAAGACAGATGCCCAAACATGGGTGATACCAGCACCATCTTTTAATGCATTATTCTTTCTTTTGATAACAGTGGCAAAACATCAAAATTTTATAAGGAGACATAGTACACAGGCAATTTGGAAAAAAGTAAATTTTTGTTTTGTTTTTGTTTTTTCCCCCAAATTTTTGGTAGCTGTACTAACCAACACATTTGATGCCCTGTTTATGCCACCAAACTGAAATGGCAAATGTTGCCTGGCAATTTGTACCATTGTGCTCACAGCATTTTTCATTCTGTCTTCCAGGTTTTTCATTTCTGTGATGTCATCAGAACTTAGTGGTGCTGAGATGTACAAACAAACTGAACCTTCCCTGATCCTCTCCAAGTCTGAGATAAGGAAAATGGATGTCAAGTGAGTAATAAACTTGGGGCTTATTAGACAATCCTTGACCAGCTGGCTGGCTGCTTTCTGAACTGAGAGAAACACAGGTTTCAAAATAGGGCATGATAACATCTAAGCGATGTATGTGAAATTGAGTGGAGTATTTACCTAGTAGGTAAATTTGTAGGTTAGACATTTTGAGATACATTTACACTGACTTCTGTAATTTATATAATCTTTCTGATATTGTATCTTAGTCCCTTTGGATTGTGAGGACTCTTTTAGATCTGTAGGATAACACCAGTTCAACAGACTTATGAAACTACTTGTTTGACTGTGGTTTTCTGATTATATTAATAATCTGAGTACTCCACCCAAAAATCTAAACTCCTGGTTGGAGTGTGGAAATTCTCCATATGTGGAGAATTCCTGCAACACTTATAAGAAGGTAGAGTATGAAAACTATCTATAAAAAGTGCTAATACTAGCTTTGAGAATACTTGTGCCATTGTGTGAATGAAAGCAAAGAATATTGGCTTGGAGCAGCTTCTGCATTTGCTGCAGCAGAAGGAAAAAACACCTGGACAACCTCAGTACTTTAGGTATGAGTTGAGAAGAAGCCACATGGATGGTGCTAGATGTTTGCTGCCTATGTTGTTGCACAGCAGGTGTGTGAGCATAAAAATATTGTTGTGCACAAAGAGGGTCTTTATTTCCAGCATTAGAAACAGATAAGGCTCCTAATACTTCTCATTTCCTGTCAGCTTTTCAAAACCACTGATGAAGAGTGCTGATGCAGAATGTACAGGCTGTGGGGATCAGAACATGGGACTTCAGGGCCAGCTTTCTGACTGCTAAATGGAATCAGTGACTTTTCTCCCATCAGATTTGAAAGTTTATGCTGAAAGACAAAACCTGTTTCATATTACATATATCATGTGCAAGCTGGTGCAAAGGTGCTACTTCTGAAATTATTCTTTTGTGTCTTCTGCATTGGCTATCTTTTGCCATTATTTGGGAAAGGGCAGATGACAGAGAGAAGAGGAGCACAGGCAATCTCTCTCTGTACCATTTCATCAGTCACAACATGATGATCAGTCTGAACAACTGGGAACATGGTTGCCACTGTCAAATACTGAGTATGTGGCATTTTGTTTTCATTTGCTCTGCCTACTGGATAGTTTTGTTTCTACATGCATGCTATCTTCTTTTGCTTCACTTTCCAAGTAGGAATTGGAGCTGAATGTTTGTCTTCTGCTTCTGGAAGTTTACAAAGCATTAGCCTTTTTTTTTTTTTCTATTTTAACAGTTATTTGCCTCATTTTCTTCTTGTCTTTCAATGTTCCTGTGCTTGCCTTGATTCCCACTGGGATTTCAGAGGCATGGAGCAGCAGCAGCAGCACTGATCTGCTGATTAACAGGTTCATGAGAACTCTTGTTCTCAAATTCTTGTTGGTCTTGTTTGGCTTTGCTTTGTAAGTAGAGGAGTATATGCTGGGTCATAAGTACATCTGAAATTTCTATCCTCTGCTATGCTTCTGCAAAGAGCTGCATGTCCCAGCAGATGGAGTAAGATAAACAGCAAATTTACAGCCATTGATATGTGCTGGTTTCCATCACAATTTGAATGCAATCTGGATGTCAGTTTTATATATATATATATACACAGTGGATGTCAGCAGTATATATACTACTAACAGTATATATACACAGAGGCTGTAGTCACAGCCTCTATGTATACTTCCTTGATTGGAAGGGCCAGATACTTGCCCTTGCTTTGCAGTTCTTTGAGTTAGTGTTAAATGGGATGGCAGATGTCTCAGAAGTAAATTACCAGTAAGATTCAACTGGAAATCGTATACTTCCCCAAGCACTCTATTGTCTACAAAGAGAGATAAATCAGGGAAGGATGTCAGTGGTTCTTAGGGAATTAGTTATTCAATCTTTTATTAAAGGAAAAAAAGTATTTTCCCCATAACTCAACACCTTTTTGTCTAAAACAGAAAAAATTTCACAAGGAGAAACTCTGTATTATTCAAAAGCCCATAATTCTGCAGATCATTTTGCAAATATAAACATCAAACCTTGGATGGCCTACACAATCAAAAATACATGTCTTTTCAGTTGCCAGCAGCAGGAGTATGCCAAGAACTGAGTCAGAAATCATCCCCAGGAAGTTTGTTTTTGAAAATAGGCAGGTTGTATTAGGATGCATGGTGAGCCTGTGCGAGTAAGAGGCTATCCACACGCCATGAGTTTGAATGTCGTTGTTGCACTTGCTTGGGCTTGTAGATTGTGATAGGGCCCTTGAAAATGCCAGAGAAATAATAATAAATAAGGACATCTAGGGATCTAATCCATGATTATTTTCTTTCTATTTTCTTTTGGGGTTTTTTTGGGGGTTTTTTTTGGGTTTTGTTTTGGTTTTTTTTTTCATTTTTATATACAGTTCCTGCTTCTATGAGTAAACAAGGAAAATTGGTAGCTTCCCTGCTTGAAAATTCCCATATCTTTTGTTATATTGATATTCATGTTCCTGGTGCTGTGTTTTGTTGCCTCTGTATAAGATTTTGTTGCTTTCTTTCCCTTGATAAGCTACAGGTTTTTTCCCCCTGTCTTTTTTGCTACAGTTTGGGCTTTGTTCAGTGACTGAGATCATAAATGTATGTGCTTGTATTTTAACTGTTAGAAGCCATCTTGCAAGTATTGTGAGTTAAAAACATCAGGACTTCTGATATGAAGCAGTAATACAATGCTGTTGAATATACTACCCATGCAGAATGCTAGAAGGTGAAACATGTACTAGAACTATGATATTGTATGTCAGCTTCTGATAAAACTGCATAAAAATTATAATTTTCAAGATACATTTATCCTACAGAGCCATTCACAATCCTATCCCTGAAGAACAAACAATAAAACAAAAAAATTCCTCTCCAAAAACCATCTTATATTAAAAAATATACATTACTTAATCTGTATACATGTGTGTGTGTGTGTATGTATGTGGTAAGATTATGTAACTGCTGTTTCTTTCCCTTTCTATTTTAGTTTCTCAGCATGACTGCAGTTGTCTACAGAGATAATTGGAATATTTTTGCTCCTGTTGCCCTAAAGAAGGAGGGCAGGAGTGTTGTTGCTGCTTCACAGATGAAGAGAAAAGAGTTCAAGTGGATTTTCTCAAGGTCACACAATGACATCTGCAGCAGAGCTGTGATTTGAAGCCAAATCTCCTGAACCACAGAATTTAGACTATTAAAAGACCAGAATATATTGGATGTAACAACCATAAAGACACCCAAATCAAATGCATAGTTTTCATGCCCTTCTCCCTCCTCCCCTGCCCAACAAAACAGCAAATTGTGGGCTTGGTTTAAACGTTGCTCCAGCAATATAATAGCTCTTTAATTTGCAAAGCTTGATAGATAGGACTGTTCACCTAGTCCCAAATTTGCTGGCATGGGAATACTGCAGGGGAACTACAATTTTCAAAAGAATATTTATTTTGAAGTAGATACGTGCCTCATAGTTTCTTTCTTTAAATCAACTGGGTAAGAAAAGCTAATATATTCACCTCCTAGTCCTGAATGGAAGGATTCCAGCTGTTTCTCAATTTCTATCTTTAAAATGTACCTTTGGTGAACTATTTTTCGAAAAAGTTTAATTTATCATGCACACAACCTGCCATTATGTGCAGTAGTGGTCTATTTTTCCTATGTGCTCCACTGTCTCTCTGTTCCTGTTTGGCTTTTTTCCTTCAAACAGTCAGCATATTTGGACAGAACAACTTTTCCTGCTATCCTACGCAGCCTTTAGGCTTTAGGAGCCTATTGAAATACAAACCAGAAACAGGCAGTTCCATCCTAAATGCCCCTTGCCTTTCCCCCAGTAAGTGGAGTTGTCTCCACTGGCTTAAATCAGCACATAAGCCTGAGAGGCTGCCAGTGTTCTGCAGAGACTGAGTGGTTCTGCTTACCACTTTTGGGGTAGTTCTCTTCTGATACCTTAAATAACCTGATTTTCTGACAGCTTGGTCTATCTACTTTAGCACTCAGCTCTTGCATTTTAACCTTGTCAGGGTTATCCCCTATCTCTTGTGCGTTGATTAGTTGAGAAACTGGAGCTAGGTTAGTTCTGGTGTGTAGAACTGTAACAGCTTTCCCCCGCACCTGGCAGTTTCTGCTCTCATTGACAAATCTCAGCTCTAGAAACACTCCACATTTTTTCATTTTTATTGCTTTTCTTTTTGTTCTTTTCATTTTTGGCAGCTTGGTCTGCTTCTGAACAGTTTTCATTTAGGGTCACATATCTGCTGACTGCAAAGATTCTGCTGATTTCTGTTGCTTCCCTGACTCATTTTGTCCTTTGCAAAAAGACAGTGCTAGACTCTCTTAGAAAACCTCATCACTTTGCCCATGACTTGGGCAAAGGTATAAGTATGTATAACTTTGAACTCTGGAGGCCATAGTACTAAGTGAAGCTTTCTGGACTCAGTAGTTTCCTGTCTTCACTCCAAGAAAGAAAATCAGAGGGAAATGTTATGTATAGTGGATTAATAGTTCCCTTGGTCCCTAAGCATTTGGTTCTGTGGAGAAGAAAATTGTTCTGAGATGGGAGGATTTGCAGTCCTGAGTTAATGTGAAATAAGGCAGTCTACCAGTACAGTGCCGGGACATTAGTGATTTATTTCACCTGAACAGGTCTGTTTTGAGAAAATCACTGTGTTGCACTATTATACTTTAATTGATATGGCATTGAAATGCACTACGAGGTGTATGTCCATCAGCACTTTACTCATATCCTCCACTGGTTTTGAAGAATGCATTGAAGTGACTAGGGACATGGCTTGCTCAGGTTTGGGTGGGCATAATAGGCAGCAAGGTATGTTGTTTTTCAAGAAAAGAAGGATATTGTCAGATTTTGCGGTTATAGAGAAAAGAGGAAACCGAATAATACTCAGACCCAACAGATTAGTTCTGTTTAGTTTAGGTGATCCCATTCATCTCCAGACTGTTCTGATCTAGGAAAAGAATGTAATTTGAATGCTGTCTCTCAGCAGCAGGTCAGACAGGGAGATCTGGACTGGCAAACTCTTCTCACTACAATGTTCCTTTGCCCTGCTACAAGTGTTCAAAGTAGAGGTTTAAAAAAGAGTGTCTGAAAATAAGCAGTTTGGCAGAACCATGCCAGGTTTTAGTGTTTTCTGCAAAAGCACATTGTAAGTCCCCTTAACCATCAACAACAACTTGTGCTGAGTTGTCTTGATTTCATCTGCTGTTTGGAATATTTCCGTAAGATTGTTAGCTTTATCTTCTCTGCTCAGGACTCTCCTTAGATAATTGTGAGTGACTTTAATGCCTTTCCCCCACCCAAGCTTTGGACAGAACAGTATATGAGATTTAGCTCAGCCTTTCCACTGAGCAGGTACATAAGAGACCTCCCTACCCAGTAAAAGCTGCTGAGTTTTCAGTCATGTGGTTTGTGGGAGCAGTAGGGGAGGCAGTGTGTTCTTTAAATGTACTTCTGACAGGAGAGAAAATGGCCTCCAGTGGCAGCCTGGGAGGTTTAGGTTAGATACAAGAAAAAATTTCTTCTGTGAAGAGTGATCAGGCATTGGAACATGCTCCTCAGGAAAGTAGTAGAATCACCATGCCTGGAGCTATATAAAAAAACATGCAGATATGGTTCCTAGGGACATGGTTTAGTGGTGGACATGCCAATCCCAGGTTAATTGTTGGAACTGGTAGTATTTTCCAGTCTTAATGATACTACAATTTTGTGGTGCTATGATTCCAATTGTTTGCTAACTCTGTCTCTATGCAGATGAGCTTTGGGACTCTGGCCTTGTTGACAAATAAAAACTATTTCTGAAGTATAAAAAACCCCACAAGAGAAAACATGGTGGCTTTGAATGGATGCCTGGAAAATTGTGAGAACATACCAACATATATATTTTTTTCCAAAGAAGATACTTGCTTGCATCTGCTCAGGGGATTTTCTGAATAAATTGTTTCTTCCTGTTTAAGGGCATCCGTTCTTAGCATTTCTGTGGTATTCTTCAGGCTCTAGCAAACTTCAAGAATTTAAATGTTTTGACAAGAAGTACTACCAGCCTAATGATGATACCTTAAGTTTTAGCTTTTATATTTTCCAGATTCTGTACTGCATTAATATGTAACTCTGAACTTCATGTAAAGTGTTAGCAAGCTCCCTACATAGCTTAGTTAGACAAAACCATCGTTTTCCAGCCTGAGAACCAGGGACACCACTGCAGCTGCAATACCTACTTTATTCCTTTATCTCTGTCCAGCCTCTGTTCTGGGTAGCCTCTCTAGACATCAGTGAGGAGCTACGTCTCATTATTTTGATCATTATTTTGATCCTGGTCTCTCATTTTTTATGTAATACTTCCTTGGCATTCATGGTGACCTGGTGATCACTGCAGAAAAGCCCATTTTCTTCAGCAGTTTCCATGTGACCTCACATGTCACTTCTAACATTCCCAGTCTTTTCTAGCCACTCTATGCTTTAGATATTTGAGAGATTTTGAACAGCTCAGCAGAACATAGACATTTTCCTACTTCTCTCTTAGGTCCTGTTTTTGTGCTATGGTCTCTTGCCAAAAAAGGCATGTAATTCTAAAGAAGATAACAGAAACTTACTGTTTTGCAAAGGTGATTTTCTGCCTTAGTGGGTGTTTTAGGTTGCTCACAGAATAACCAACAACGGTAATGGCAAAAACCGGTTTAATATAAAAATGAAGTCATAATGAAGTACATTGCTCAGTTTACTGTATTATGAGATAAATGGGGCAGGAGATCTTTCTCCTTTTTAATGCCTTTATTTAAAAGAATCAGCTCAGGTGGGGAGAAATCGACAGGTCACGCCCACCCCACTGCTGCTCCCAGGAGTGGCAGGAGGAGGAGGATGATGCAGCTTTGTCCGCTGGTCTGCAGACAGAGCTGGGGATTCCGTCCTCACGGGAGAGTAGGATATTCCCACTTTTTTGGTCTAACATTCCAGCTCCTCTTTCTAGTTAAGACCTTTTAGATTAGGGTGAGAAGTAAAAGGATCTTAGCAGATACTGGGTTAAGTTCCTCGTCCTTAGACACCACTTAGGTCTCTTAATTCCATGTTGGCTCGTGATTTTTAGGGTTTTTTTCCCTGAAAATTACAGGTGAAATGCATTCTCTCCTCTGCATACTAGTTCTGATGTCACTCCCCTTCCCCTGCTGCCTGCGGGGTCTGGTATCACCCCTGGCAAGCATTAGAGGGGAGGATGGCTAATCACCAACCATTAACAGGTAATTGAAGAAGAACTCTTAACAATAGTTCCCTGCAACATGCAGCAAGCCTTCAATTTAACAGCAATTGGTTCAACTTTTTTAACTTTGCTACCTTAAAAAAAATTGATAACTTTTTTATTCATAACATATTACTTGCTATATGGTTAAATCACACAGATGAAAAATTGGACTGAAATAGAAAATCAATTAATCTGAAACTAAAATCAACCAAAAATTATCTGTGTGGAGACTGGGGATGGAAAAGTATAAAGATGGGAAGGGGTAAGGCTGAAAACAAAAAGGGAGGCCCTTCCACTGAGTCGTAAGTCTCAACATGGACTCCTGTGCAAAACTTAGCTCTGGACTTGAGTGGTAGTTAGTGCCTAAAGAGTTTAACAGCATTAAAACTATCATCTAATTTAAACCATTTACAAAAGATTCTACAGAATTTACTTCAAGCCCTATTTAGAGGCCTAATTTACCTCTAAAGTACTTAAGAGATTCCAGGCACATTTTCTGTAGCATATTCACACAGACCTAGAGTACACACAAGGTACCTGTGAAAATTCTGCCTCGGGCTCAGTAAAGTGCTCATGTCAGATGTCTGCATTTTCTCTGCAGGCAAAGGAATGAACCTCGAGGAGTGGGGGTATTGGCCCAGGCTTTGTCATCGTTGTTTGGCAGTGGTGCTCCAAGTACAGCAAATCTGAGAGTTCTCTGGCTCTGAGAGGCCCCACTCAGATGGGGATGCTGGAGGTCAAAGGGTCTCACTTAGGACCACTGTTCATAGGCTCACAAGAGCATTGGCTTTTAACACATTGATGTCCTGCCACAATTCGAGTTGGTAACTTTCTTTTAAAGTTCAACAACAAAAACGTTGCTTCTCTTAGCTTGTTTCTCAGGTGAAAAAAATAACTTTCCAATGGTGGTTTTTAAAACCAGGAGGTTTTTAGACAGCAGCAGTTCCTGGGAGCAGTGTTTCTCATAAGCTCAAGAGAAGCTGAGCTCAGGGGCTGTTTATCAAGAATAAGGCCTAATGAGCATTTCTGAGGTTATAGTGTAGCCCAGGGTTCAGGACAGGGAGAAATTCACTACCAGGCTTTCTAATGTTTTGGGATGGGGTTTTTTCAGTGTGTTTTGAGCATTTTTTTGGCTTGAGTGGGTTTTAAGTTGCTGTTGTATTTACTATAATGGGCCAAAACTAACTTCTGAGTTCTAATGGAAGGAAATTTGTGTAAAGAAAA